CATCCCTTCAGCTCATCCCTTTTTCCCTTTTGGTTGGAAATGAGCATAGCTGTTAAAAATGAAAACACATGAGTCAGAATCCCAGCGTTGCAACAATTACAGTTCTTACTTCTTCTAGCCAAATCCATCTAAAATACAAGCAGCACAGTCCGGCCCCCTTGTGGTCAAAATGATTAATTTTTATACTAAAAAAAGCTTGTAGGTCTGACACATGCTTAATTTTTCAGCCAACAAAATAGAATTAACTGTATAAAATGTATTGTTACCCTACAGTTTTAATATCTTGGTGTGTCAGCTGTGACAACAATTTTTATAAGCCAAGGTTGTGGAAACAGAGAAATGGTAGGAATCCTGACTGGGACAGTGTTAAAGTTCATGTAGTTAGTTGCAGTCATGATTAGTGAATTATATAGAGGCTAGAACAGGTCTGGGGAAACCTGGGGTCTATTACCATTTCTGATACTAACCCTCTGTATGACCTTGGCCATGTTGCTTGACCTTTCATGGCTCGGTTGTGCTAGGCACTACCCAGACTAAGGGTACGACCAGACTACCCGCCGAATCAGTCGGTAGTAATTGATCTATTGGGGATCGATATATCATGTCTTGTCTAGACGCGATATATCGATCCCCGAACACGCTCCCATTGAGTCCGGAACTCCACGCGGGTGAGCAGCGGTAGTGGAGTCGACAGGGGAGCTGCGGCCTTCGATCCCGTGCTGTGAGGACCGAGGTAAGTCTAAATAAGATACGCAACTTCAGCTCCTGGAATAGCATAGTTGAAGTCGACGTATCTTACATTGACTCCCTCCCACAGTGTAGACCAGCCCTAATTGTAAAATAGGGATAATACTTCTCTACTATCTCTCAGTGGTATTGTGAGGCTTTACTAATTAGAGCCAAAGCATGCAGAACTTACCCATCTGCAACTCCTGTTACTTTCAGTGAATGGTTTGAATGAATAAAGTCTGCGGAATTGGGCCATTAGTGCTCAGTCCTCTGCCCCAGTTCTGGTACATGGCAAGGGCTACCCTTAAGGGACAGCGAAGGAGTCCCTCTGCTGCAGGGGAACCATTAGGTTGTACAATGTTGGCACAGCTGGTTCTATACTCTCTGCTCCCCATCTTGGTGTAGGGGACAGAGAGCTGGCATTTCAGATGTGGGCACAGAGCAGCATGCCCCACCAGATTTGCTGATGATGATGTAATTTAGAGTAGCTTAGGGCTGTTCTTCATTATGCCAGGGACTGTTTCAGGCTGTATATGACTCAGGTTCACAGATGTGGAAAGGTGGCTTAAACACTTTCCCCACACCTTATCCTCAGCTTTGCTGAGTGTAAACTTAACAGTTGTAAAGGTCTTTGCTCTTCCATAGTGGCTTTGATACAAGATCTCAAAGTATTATTGTTTATAATGCAGTAATGGCAAGATTCATGGACCGGTTGTGCTAGGCACTGTGCAGACATGACTGTATATTACTATAAGGGGATTGCCAACTCCAGATGGTTCAGAGTTCATGTTTAGTTTAGATTGGCATCCAAAAACTTAGCTGTCTGTCTGAACCTCATTGTCTGTGTAGTGGTCCGTGGCCGTCCCTCCCTGTCAGTCTCGGAAGGAGGCCATGCCCCCTCACAACAGTGTGCAAAACAGGGCTAGAAATAGCGTGAGAACAGTCTCGTCATAGCAGATCAGCACTTTCATTCTCCAACCTTGGATGAAAATGAGGAGAAGTAATGGGAAATGTTAACCAAATGTTTTCAACATCAAAAATAATCCCATTCCAGTTCTGGGCAGTCTTCTCCAAACTGGTTAGGTTATTCCCATGATTAAGATGCACCAACAGGGGAAAAGAGCTTTCTCTCCTGGAATGGCCTCAACCCAGAGAGATACTTCAGGGTCTATAAGGACCTTTGCTGAGAATCTACTGATTTGGGGGACCCTTTATGTGTCATAGCTTAACTGTGGTTTCATTTTTAAAAAATCCTTAGGTTGTCTCTATTTCTTTTTTTCCAAGCTCATTTGTATGAGCTATGTGGTCTACCATTGGTGCATGTGCAGAGCCCCCACTAATCCATAGAAGTTTCCTACACAGATGAAAAGGAGCATACAGACAAGACTCATCTATTCATTTCCTGGCCTTCCTCATAAAACTCATTTATAAATATTGTCTTAAAAACATGAGCAAAACTAATTTCAGTGGAATAAACATTCTTCCCCTTCCTCTTATTCACATCTCTTGTCCCCCACCCCTATGTGCATATTAGGATTAGAACTATTTATGCTGAAAGTATCCTGTCTTGAAAAGCGGGAACTAAGTAATGCAGCTTCATAATCTCCTCAAGATGGTAATCCTCACAGAAGTGGTACTTATCCATTGAGAAGGCCACAGCTCTTCTGGTTCTCAAAGAATCTTGGCAAAGTGCTGTCTTAGGCCCAGACCCCTATCCAAGCACACAGCTCAAGCAGTTGGACTTACTATGGGATTTCTCCAGGGCTAGAGAAGGTGTAATGTTTCCCATAGGTCCTGGAGAAAATACATCCACTAAATGGCTGCTACTCCAGTGAGAGAGCTGCACTATTTGTATCTCCCATGTGAAGGGAACAGCCAATGGGCCTAAGTAACTGATGTATTTGTAACCCTCTGCCCCTCTGAGTTGGCAGCAACAAGAGCCGGGTTCAGTATCTAGGGGTTCCGTTTCAATAACGCAATGCAAAACCGGCTCGAGCCCCCAGCCAGTGACCTGGGACAATTACATACCACCCCCCCGGGCGCCTCTAAGAGGCAATACTTTTCCTCTCGCAAGCACGGAGTCTGAGTGTAGCAAAAGCCTTTTAATAAAGGAGGGAAACAATGCGGCATTATGTTGGGGAAACACCACAAACAGGTTTCATAACACAAACCATGAGCAAAAGACTCACCTCCAAGTAAGTTTGGCAGTGTCCTTTTCCCCTTAGGGTTTTAAATCCAATTACCCCAAAGTCCAACAACCCCAAAGTTTCTGTCCCTGGTCAGTGCCGCCTCAGAGTTCAAAAGTTTATCTGCAGAGTTTTACACCCCCCCAGCCTGGGCGGAAATGGGGGGGGGCCACACGGGATGCTAAGGGGCACCTTCCGTGGTCTGAGGCTGACTGCTCCACCTTTCCGTGGAGTTCTGCTGCAGCCTTTACCACGAATGGCTTCACTCTACCAGCTGTGCTGCACCACGCTGCTCTGCTCCGCTCCTCCAGCCGTCCCCACAAACTGCTCAGCTCTGCCAGCTGCTCCACTCCACCAGCCGTCCCATGAACTGCTCCAGCTGCCCCTGCAAATGGCTCAGCTCCGCTCTGCGCCGCTCGCTGTTCCATGGGCCGCTCCAACCGTCCCACAAACTGCTCGGCTCTGCCAGCTGCTTAGCAATATATCTTCAGGCTCCCCCACTGGTTAACACAACACTCAGTGATCTCAGCTCAGCAATTTTAGCAATTGCAGCTTGTAGTAGGGGAGCCCCAGTGCTGGTGCACCATTGGCCCAAAGTGAATTCCGCTCAGCAACTTCTAGGTAGACTCCTAATGGAAGCAAACTTAGCTCTGCTATTCAACAGTGGAGAGAGGGGGTAGTGCAATTGGTGTTCCAGGCCCTCAAAAGGGGCCCATACCATCAGCTACACATACCTGTCCCCAACCTCTCAATTCACTGGGTTTTGTAACCCATGCCCCTTGTCTAGCGAGTGCTACTTAATTACTGGTGACTCCCTCTGTCATACAACAGTTCCACTGGCCTTGATTCACAGAATCAGGGTAAGAACACTTTATTCTTCCTGCCCCAATAACAGAGAAACTGGGGATCCCACACCAGCCAAAGTAACCACTTTCAGTTGTTGTTGTTCCAGGCTAGGCGGGTAGGTGTGCCTGTGCAAACAAGATCAGCCCCTGAAGTTCTTTTCCACCCTTGCCATAATTCACCACCAGATGTCAGGGTAGAGCTTATCCTGACTCTGCTTACATATTCATGACAGAACAGTCCATTGCAGCTATCTTGAAAGTGGTTTGTGGGATTGGACAGAGAGCAGAGAAAATAGCATGTGATGTAACTTGCACTCTGTGACTGATCATCTACAGTTTACAAAGAGCAAATACTCCAAACCAGTGGTTCTCAACCTTGTCCATACCACAGCCCCCTTTTGTGCACTAGAACCTCCCCAGGACTCCTTCTCATGTAGCAACAGATGGAGGCTAGTGTGGCCATGAACTGCAGGTCTAAGCAATAGTGGCAATGGATAGTTACCTGACAGGATACGTCTGTATAAAGTGTTCAGCAAATAATCTTGAATAATAGACTGGTCCTATAAAAATAGTCTTTGCAGGTAAAACATGAAAAAAGGAGATCTCCTTTCTTCGTTATGATACATATAGAAAAAATTATCTTGACAAACTCCTAACTACTCTGCCTAGGATAAAAGGTATGTTAAAGTTAGCACGTGTTAGCTAGCATAATGAAGAGTGTAATGTAAGCAGGCAAGAGCTAATATGTGCCAACACACTTATAAAGTCTAGTGTAGACAAGGCATACTGCTCTCAAAACATGTTAAGATGGTTGTTAGTCTTAACACGCATGAATAGCTTGTGTACACTAGACTTTTTAAGTGTGTTAGCATACAAGAGCTAATATGTGCTAACGTTACACTCTTCATTATGCTAGCTAACACATGCTAACTTTAACATGCCTTTTATCCTAGGCAGAGTAGTTAGGAGTTTGTCAAGATAATTTTTTCTATATGTGTCATAACGAAGAAATGGGCAAATTAAATAATTAAGGACTAGACTTTTTAAGTGTGTTAACATGCAAGAGCCAACATCACACCTCTAAATTCTAGTCTAGACAAGGCCTGAAAGGAGATTGTGCCAAAGCATTCAGAAATTAGAGCTTGAGTAGAAGTATATAAAATAGAATCAGAAAAGATCTTTAAAAACACTCAGCACTCGTTTACCAGTCAATTAACTTTGTTATTTCTTTTTTCTTTAGATTTTCTCAAGCAGACCACGTTTGACGCGCAGGCATTTTTAGAAGCTGTCCAGTTCTTCCGTCAGGAGAAAGGCCACTATGGGTCTTGGGAAATGATAACTGGCAATGAAATTCAGGTACAATAGAATCTCCCTTTCTTTGTCCATGATGGCTTTTGAGGATGGAGGAGGTAGTGAGAAAATGAAAGTTGTTTGAAGGAAACCTTGAGTAAAAAAAAATCTTATATTTATATCTGTAAACAGACACAAAGCATGTACACTGAATTTATTCAATGTTCTATGCAGTGAATTTCCACTGCAAGTGAAAATAGTTTGCAGTGTAGTTACAAAATGAGAGCCCAATCCTGCTATTGCCAGTCAATGAGCATGGGCCCCAATGCTGCAAAGACTTATGCTGGTGTTTTAACTTCATGCACTGTGAGCAATCCCACAGGACCACTTGCTGTGCATATAGTTAAGCACCTGTGTAAGTCTTTGCAAGATCTGGGGAACATAGTGCTTACTGTTGTGAGAAGTTTCACTGAAGTCAGTGGGATTAAGTAGTAAACAACCTACTCATTGGCTATGTCTACACTTACAGTGGCTGATGTACACTGCACATCACCCTAGCACAGGTGTAAATACCTGTGTAGATAGTGAGGCACTGCTTTGGCAAGTAAAGACATCAAGTCAGACCCCTACACTGCTCTCTACAGCTGTATATACACTCTACTCAGCTCTTTACTTGCCCAAGCTGTGCCTCTCACATATGCACTGCTGTTTTTAGAAGTGTAGGATCTTGCTGCTGGAACCTTTCCCCTCCAGCAGCAGAGCCTTTCCTTGCTTCAGGGAATTGCTGGAGCCTTTCCCCGCTGCCTCCTTTCTGCCAGAGCCTTTCACTGCTGTGTGTAGCTACACACCGCAGTGTGGACGCAGCCTGCTTTTCACTGCTGTATGTAGCTAGGTGAACTCTACATGCTGCCACCAGTGTAACAAGGCCTGTAACAAGTGTTTGCAGGATTGGGCTCTACAATGTTTCTGTCCCTTCCCATTGCAATGATTTTGCAGGTAAAATACCTTCTTTTCCCTGTTGGTGCTGACTACGTTAGTAACTGCACTAGTTTCCAATTGCTTTCTGTCTAGTGCCTCCAGATCCCACTGCAGAGGTTCATGCTGTCACACAATATATTTTATGGTGCTGAAATTTTTTAAATGTGCTATCTAGATTGCAGGAAATGAAAAATTATCTGGCTAATTAAAAATTCCCCAGGGAGATGCCTACTAGGAGGTTTTCAGTTGCTATTGCTCAGTGAAACTTGAATTGCACCTGTTTCTTTCCATACCGTAGGGTGGGTGTTTTCAAAATGGGTGATTTACCATGAGAGGGAGCATTTTGCAAGCTGGTAACAACTTCTCCAGTTGGGCCATTAGGAGGTGTTTGAAAAGAGGCTTAGATATAGAATATAAAAAACAGTGCAACAGTAGAGTGAAGTACCACAGTAGCCAATAGTAACACTTAGGCTTGGAAGTATTAGTTTTTTATCGTAAATGTCAATTTCACTGTACACTGAAAAAATATTTCCAGCAATAAGAATCAAAATTTACAGATAGGCAAGGTAAGAAACATACTGCTTGAAAACCTAGAGTTTGATTTAAGGATATTTACTTTGTTTATTCTGATGTGTGATGTTGACAATTTGTGCTCTAACAGTTATATAGCTTCAGCTTTTTGAATCTCAGCATGTACTCATTAAATAATTATTGTCCAAATCCCACCTCCATAGTTTCCCACAATTGTGAAAAATTAAATAGATAAGAAAATGCTGAAAAATAATTGTCAAAAAATTAAAAAAAACAAACTCTGCCAAGCCTAGTAATACTGTAATCATAAAAAAATTGTTGTGAAATATATACAATTTTAATTTTGAAATGAGGATAAGAAAAAACATTGAGCAATAAAGGATATTTGCGGGAAAACAAGCTTATGTTTACAGCCTTAATGAGCTACTCTCACCCTCCACATCTTCCCCAGCTCTCCACCTATCATCCTAAACCTCTGTTTTGGTTCTGAGCATAGCGCCAGCTCCCACTGGGCTTGCCATAGCCCTAGCTCAGTAAAACTACTGCTGGGCCAAATCCTGATATCCTTTACTCAGGAAAAGATGCCATTGTCAACAGTGGGAGTAAATACGGACTGCAGGGTTTGACTGGTTCCAAAACTTTCTATAGGCCTTTGTATCTCATTGTCTGCAATTTTATATTAAAAATGCTTTAATGTAAAATCCAGGGAGTAGAGAGAGCACCTGTATTTCCAAATTATAGTGACAAATGGCTAGCCTAAGAATCAAAAGCCTAAAATAAATTTTAGGTCTACTACTTGGTGCCAGCCACCCCTCTCCATGGCAAAGTATGCACAGAAGAGCAAGGGTTGGAACAAGCCCTGAAAACAGCAGAAGTAGGGAGCATCAGTTTAGAAACATGGTGAGCTTCGCAGGAGTCTGCAGAAGCTCTGCCACAAGAACCTAGTGCATCTTGGGTATTGCAAGTTCCAGGGAAGAGATGAAGGTGAGGATCTGCCACTTTACACATTGTGTTCCCCTCTGGGCAGAAATTCACATGGAAGGCATCATTGTCGTCCCCTTTACGAAATGTGCACTGGATGTGGGATCGGAACCTAGGGCTCAGGTTTAGCAAAGGGACGCAATAACACCACTGCCATTCTACTGGTGGGGAGGGGAGCCTAGAGAACAGCACAGAGGAGCAGGCCCACCTCCAGGATGCGTAAGGTTGGTGTCAGATTTCCGCAAGACTCCTTAGCCTCTGGGGCTTGAAAACCTTTTTCTTGTCCCACTGCAATGCTCCAACCCCCAAGGAGAGAATGGAACACCAGCTACCTGAAATCTTGGAGAATCTCTTTAGTATGCTTTTCCTCTCCTTCAGGAAGGAACTTTTAGTCTTGGGTGGATAAACTAGTAGATGCCGCAGTTACTGTGACAAATGGTGAAACAGAGCATTGCATAGCAACAACCACAGTGGAACAAGCCAATGCGCTGCCTCATATAGCACTTAAAATGGATGGCTAAATTTAGGCTCCTAAGTCCATACTTGGACATCTAAAATAAATGGCTTAGAACACTGGTGTGAGTTGCATAACTCCAATGAGTTCACTGGCATTATTCCAGATATATTTCAGTATAACTAAGAAAATCTACCCCCTGATTACCGGTACTTTTCCCCCCTAGAAATGCTGAGTTGTCAACAGCTCTCACTGACTTTAACGCTAGCTGCTGGGTGTTCATCACCCTTGAAAATCATGCCACTTATAGGGAAATGTAGGGGTCCATTGAGGAATTTGTGATTCAGGGTTTTGTCCTCACTAACCAGAATAATTCTGATAGGCTGCCGTGGAAGTTGTAGAAACGGGATGAAAATATATAAGTAGGGCTTAAATTCTTAGAGTATTTCTTGGAGACCCCATGCTCACCCCTCCGCCCCCCGCAACATCCTATAAAAACTCCAGGGGGCTTGAAAATATTTACTGGAGCTCTTCTCCAGACAACACCCCAAATTTAAGCCCTGTGTATAACCATTATCTACTCATGCTTTGGTGTCAGGAGTCAAGGTTCCCTGATATTAACTAATAGGAAATCCCTTAGCATCAAGGAACCCCCATCCTGCCCACCAAAGGGTTAAGAGGATAGTATTCTCTGACAGGTTTGAAAAGTTTGTTTTGAGTCATGAAACTGTTACAATGTTAGTTTTGTTATCTTTTTCTACTCATAACCTATATATCCCAAGAGAACCTTCATCAGAGGACTTCAGAATAGTTACATTATCATCTTCTTAGTAATGAATACTAGGAGTACTGTATAGTGTGTTCTCAAAGTAAGTGCTTTGACAAAGTATAATAATTGTTTTAGGCAAATATCCAAGCTAAGTGAATGGTTTGGAACAATCAGACTACAAGTTTGTTGCTATTTAAAAAAACAAAAAACTGCAGAATGCTAGTTAATACGTTCGTTGACATCCTGATTACTTGTTATGACACACAATATTGCCAGTATTGATCGAAGCTGTCCTTAACTTTCCTGTTCTGCTTAGGTATTGCAACACATATACATAGGCTTGGAAGAAATAGATTTTTATCAGTAAATGTTATGTGACAAAGTCAGGCCAGACAGCTGCAGGAGGATCTGGGAAAACAGGTATGTTAGCCCTAAAATGCTAAAGGCCCTTTTTCCTATAAGCTGGGAAGGGGTTACTTCAGGTCAGTTAGTGACACCTGAGTCCAAAGGCTGCCTGAAACCTGTTAAAATCTCTCTCCTGGTGAGAACGGGGGGAGAGAGACAAATTGTTCCAATGCTGGAGGTAGCAGGGAGATAGATTTCTCCAGTGTGAGACTGTGCTCCTCCCCATAGGGGAGACATCCTGTAGCAAGGTCAAGCACTCACCACTGTGGCACCTCCTGCTGGTCATCTTGGGAATTAGCTCTCCAGCATACAGAGTGCCTCCTACTGGCCAGTGTCTGGCCTGGCGCTGGTGCCCCCCATGTCCCTCCTGGACCCCAGTACCCCTTTACCCTGGGATTCTGTCCCCCAGCAGTCCCCACACTCTGGATCTCCCCTCCCAGAGAAACCCCAACCCCCTATCCCCACCTTGCCTCAGTGGCTACTGCCCGTCATCATCTAGCCCCCTTTCCCTGGGGCAGACTGCAGTCAATAATGGCCACTCATCATTGGCAAAGGGACAGGACCTGCTGCCTTTGCCTATCCCTGGGCTGCCCCTCTGCAGCCCCAGTAACTTTGTAGGCCTTAACCAAGGCATCAGCCTGGGGAGTTGCCAGGCTGGAGCTCCCCAGGTCCTTTACCCTTCCCCTGCACTGCTCAGCCTCAGGTACCCTTGCTCCTTCAGGCAGCTAGACCCTTCTCTCTCCAAAGAGAGACTCTACCTTTTACCCCAGAGCCCTTCTTATACTGGCCCATCCGGGCCCTGATTGGCTGCCTCAAATCTGCCCACGATTGGATCCCCCGGGGCAGCCCTTTCCCAAGGCTGTTTTAACCTCTTCAGGGTCAGAGCAGGGTGACTGCTCTGCTACACACCCAAAATCCAGTGCCTGTTTAGGGGAAGGACTGATAACC